ATCAACGTGTTAGTTCAGTCCTGGCTGCGATGAACAGCAGCAATACTGTCAGAATCTGACTCCCACAGTCGGTTGTCAATTCGCTGATGTTGCAGCAGGTTGGATGACTGAGTGAATCCCTTCCCACAAACAGAGGAGGTAAATTGCCTCTCCTCGGTGTGAGTGCGTTGGTGTTTCAGAAGGTGAGATGCACATGTGAATTTCTTTACACACATGGAGCAGGTGAATGGTCTCTCCCCAGTGTGAATTCGCTGGTGTGTCACGAGGGTGGATGATCGTGTGAATGCTTTCCTACACACAGAGCAGGTGAATGGCTTCTCTCCAGTGTGAGTGCGTTGGTGTCTCAGCAGGTTATTGCTCCTTTTAAAACTCTCCTCACAGTCAGAACATTTAGAAGTTCTCTTCTTGGAATGAATTCCGTGGTGTCTCAACAGGTTGGATGAATTAATGAACCCCTTCCCGCATGCACAGCAGGTATATGGCCTCTCCCGAGTGCAGGTGTGCTGATGTACAGAGAGTTCAGATGATTTTCTGAATCCAGTCTGACAGTGAGAGCACCTGAAAGGTTTCTCATTAGTGTGAACATGTTTATGGGACATCAGGTCCTCTGAACATTTAAAAGGTCTCTCATTAGTGTGAACCCGCTGGTGAGCAAGCAGGTTGGATGACTCTCTGAATCCTCTTCCACATTTGGAGCAGGTGAACGGCCTCTCCCCCATGTGAGCGCGTCCATGTATTTCCAGCTGGGATGGCCAATTGAATCTCTTCCCACAGTGCTCACATTTCCATGGTTTGTCCATGGTGCTGGTGTCTTTGTGCATCTCCAGGTTGGATGATTTGCTGAAGCCTCTTTCACATAAAAAAGCGTGTAATTTCTCTGGGCTGAGAATGGTGAAATGCTTATTCAGGCATCGTAATTGGTTAAAGCTCTTTCCACAGTCAGTGGCACTGCAACCCTCTCATTTGGGTGTTTCTGTGTCTCACGATGAAGTTTTCCCCAACAGACAGAACAGGCAAGCATTTCTACTTCCACGTTGAAAAGCTGATGATAATCAGATCCTGATTAGTGATGTTTAGTTTACATTTGCCATTCACAAATCAGCTTCTCCCAATCCTCTGTAAAAGGAACACAGAATATCAGTATTTTGCAAAGATTTGTAGCTCAGGTTGTGGGTGAAATTCTTGATTTGATCACCTCAAAAACAAAAACAAGCCAGATCGGCGAGCAATTCAACAACCTCATTGTCAGTATCACAATCAGTCCATTGATGGAAATTCAGAGAAAATAATTCTGGCTTCTCGGTCACTCAGTCAGATTGCTTTTGTGAAGAGCCAGTGCAGACATGGCTGGTCAAAAGGTCTCCTTCCGCACCGTAACATTTCTGTGATTCTGTGATGGAATGCTCTTTCCACTCAAACTAATAAAAGCAAAACTAAAGAACGAAGTCATGAGGAAATTCCCAGTGTCTATGAGACATTTCGTTTTATTCTTTATTCATTCATGGGATGAGGGCGCCTCTGGCTTGGCCAGCACTTATTGCCCATCCCTAATTGCCCAGAGGGCAGTTATGAGTCAACCACATTGCTGTGGGTCTGGATCACATGTAGGCCAGACCAGGTAAGGATGGCCATTTCCATCCCTAAAGGACATTAGTGAGCGAAATGATTTTTCCAACAATCGGCAATGGATTCACGGTCATCATAAGACTCTTAATTCTAGCTATTTATTGAATTCAATTTCCACCATCTGCCGTGGCAAGATTCAAACCCAGGTCCCCAGAACATCACCTGGGTCTCTGGATTAACAGTCCAGTGATAATACCTCGAGGCTATTGCCTCCCCTTATGCTGACATGTTACCATTGTGGAAGGTATCATATGTAGTGGTCGGCAGTGTATGCCCAGGGACAGCTGGGCGTGGAACAGGCTTCTCATTATTTGGCAGGCAAGAAAGTAGAATTAAAGTCACAATCTGATCAGCCACGATCTTACCAGAATGATAGAGAAATCTTGCTGGGCTGACGACTGTTCCAGTTTCTTAATTAAGAATGTTCAGCAATAACCCATGTCCCAACTCCTATGGGTTTACCCAAGGACTACAGATTGCTGTTTTAGCCAGAATTCTCTGGCTCGCCCACTCTTCTCCACGTTGACCAGCCACAGATTAGAAGTTGGGACTGAAGTGACACAAAACTAGATGTTCAGCTATTCTACGTAAGAGGAGTTGCAGCCACAGCCACTCAACTGAATGTATCCAAGGACCATGGGCAATTCGAGGCTGCATACGTCAGTTGTGGCTGGGAGGGGGTGAAGCTGCTGAAAACCGCATTGTCAATTATGTTGACACTCTTGGCGCGAGGACCCAGCTGAGACCGTTGGAGCCCCACTCACGATGTGACGTTTGGTTGCGCGTGCGTGGATCCCAGACAAAATGGCGACCGCTAAACTGGAACAGCTTCCCGGGAAAAGGCCTGGATCTGGAAATACAGCACCTGTAGGTTCATTTTTAGTTTTCATTGCCTTCCAGTTGTGTTTAGAAACCCCTCCCGGGCTACTGCGGTTTCCATCACTTCCTTCGCAATTTCAATCTTGACCGACTGCGAATGTGACAAAAGAGCGTCTTTCCCCGTTGCCACTTCTCTCAGTGCATACATTCCAAAGACTCACCGGCACGACGCCTGCGCAGTGCTCGCCTGTAATGTTAATCAGGGACCTTTACCAGCGCGGGGACTGCTGGGTAAAAGACCTGTCATTGAAAACTCTCATCAATAAAAATTCTACTGTGATTGAGCAGTTGGAGAAAGTTGCAACACAAAGAACTATACAGCACAGGAGCAGGCCCTCAGCCCTCCAAGCATGCGCTGACATATTTTGCCCTTCCATATTAAAACTGCCTTCTCCTAAAGGATCTATATTCCTCTATTCCCTTCCTATTCATGTATTCGTCTGGGTGCTTCTTGAAAGCTGCTATATCACAGACCTCCGTTCCAAAAGGCATGCGTCTACTGCCTCCTATGTCTAAGCCAGTTCTGTAACGATTTTGCCAGCTCACCCCGATACCCTGTGACTTCACCTTTTGTACCAGGCTGCCATGAGGGACCTTGTCAAATGCTTTACTGAAGTCAATGTTGACAACATCCACCGCTTTTCCCTCATCAATCAGCTTCGTCACCTCCTCAAAAAACTCAATCATGTTAATGAGGCATGACCTCCCCCACACAAAACCAAACTATTTATTGCTAATCTGTCCATTTGCTTTTAAATGCTTATAGATCTTGTCTCTGAGAATCTTTTCCAATAATTTACCTTCCACTGATGTGAGGCTCACAGGCGTGTAATTTCCTGGATTATCCCTGTTACTGTTTGTAAACGATGAGACAACATTAGCTTTTCTCCAGTCCTCTGGGAACTTGCCTGTGGTCAAAGAGGATACAAAGATGCCTGTCAATGAAAAAAGTTAGCATCGAAGTTGTGCAGATATTCAATTGCACAGACAATTCATTTTCCAGTTCATAGCAAAGAAATGGCAAGTAGTTCCCCGTGAATGAAACAATGGGACAACAGCTCCTCCACCCTCTCCACTACTTCCTGGCTTCTTTCCATTTCAACAAAGTCTGAGTCACAACATAGGAGTAATCCAGAACGCCTCGTGAGTGTGCGTGCTCTCTTGGTGCCTGGACCGTGGTGGGTAGAGCAGTTTCTGCTTTATGGTATGGCAGTCGGTGACCACTAGTGAACTGCAGTGGTCAGTGTTGGACCATAACCATTCACCTTATGCATTAACAATCTGGACAAAGGAACTGACGGCATTTTTGCAAAATTATTGAGCTGGGACATGAAACAGACAGTGAGCTGAAAAGTTCCACAAGCTGCACATGTGCAACCTTCGATTTCCAAAACCAAAGATCCAGTGTGTCTCCTGTGAATCTGACAAGAGAGTGCCTGGCTGACATTCGTCACTAAAACCAACTGACATTTGGCAAATTCTAAATACATCAAAATCCTTTCTGCTTTTGTCCTTGCCTCAGCTCCAGATCCCTCTGACCATTCAGCCCCCCAGGGAGAGGGAGTGGAGGGAGTGAGCTGTTGAGGGAGATTATGTAGATCGGAGAAAGTGGACTGGAGGATAATCCAGAGAGAACAGAGAGAGGAGCTGCTCAGATTGGTGACAGGTGGAGAACGGCTGCTGCTGCTTCCCAGGGAGAGGTAGCTGGGAATATTGATAGTCACCCTTCATCCAAATGGATTTGGCAGAAATTTGAACTCCAATTTTGAAATTTGGGATCAGAATTTCTGTTATCGCAGCTAAAAATTCCCAAGTCCCCAAAACATTGTGGGGTTGCTCATTACATTTTTAACCTAATAGCAGACAAAACAAAACATGATCCAGAAGGGAAAAAAAGAAGTTAAAAAACTGTGAATGACGTATACTGGTCTATTTCATGCTGTAGATTTCAAAATGGAACTCCAGCACACCTGGTGTGTTAATTTTCAGCGAGCATGGGGTTTTGTCAGTCAGCCAATCTTTTATCCATGCCAGTACCTTGCCCCTAACACCATGTCTTATCTTATAATTAATAATGTTCCACAGAAAATAGAATTCTCTTCTGAATGTCTATCCTGTCCTTTCAGTCAAGGGTTTTATAAGCTTATTTTCCATATATTTTCAATGAGAGTATTTACAGAATTAAAATGCAAAATAAGCTTCCTTTCATGAAGAGGACCTTCATGTCATTGTCCTTTGAATATGGAAGGAGAAATGTCTGCCTGTTTTCACAGGAGGAGTACATATATAATATCAACGTGACTGGGAAAGGACTAATACATACATCTGAATGAGAGTGTTCGAGTGAACTGACTGGGGAAAGAAGTTTAACCAGATACACAACCTGAGGAAAACATTACACCACCCACAGTGAGAAGAAACTGTATATGTGTACTGTGTGTGCACAAGGCCTCAATTGCTTGTCAAAGCAGAAGTGACACAAGGACCCTCATGCTATGGAGAAACCTTGGAAATGTGAGGACTGTCGTAAAAGTCTCAATTACCCATCCCTGCTGGAAAACCATCAACGTATTCACACTGGGAAGAAGTCATTCATTTGTTCTGTATGTGGAAGGGATTCACTTGGTTATCTGGCCTTTGATCACACAAGTGAGTTCACATTGAGGAGAAGCTGTTCAGCTGCAATTCCTATGGGAAAAGGTTTAGCCACCTTTCCACCCTCACTGTACACCAACGCAGTTACACTGTGGAGCGGCTGTTTCACCTGTTCTGAGTGTAGACAATGATTCAGTCAGTGTTCTAGCCTTTGGTTACACCAACGAGTTCACACTGAGGAGAAGCTGTTCAGCTGCAATTCCTGTGGAAAGAGGTACAGACATTCTTACGCCCTTACTGTACACCATCATATTCACAGTGGTCAAAAACCATTCGCCTGCCCTGAGTGCGGGATGAGATTCACTCAGAACTTTCACTTGCCGGCACACCGATGTAGTTACACTGGGGAGAGGCCATTCGCCTGCTCTGAGCGTGGGAAAGGATTCACAGTTTTGGCAAATTTTCTCAGACACTAGCAAATTCACACTGAAGAAAGACCATTCAGCTGCACTTTCTGTGGAAAAAGATTCTGGCACCAGTCTGACCTCACTGCACACGAGCACACTCACACAGGGGAGAAGCCATTCACCTGCTCCATTGTGTGGGAAGACATTTGCTTGGTCTTCCAACCTCACTGCGCACCAGCGGTTCACACTAGGGAGAAGCCATTCATTTGCTCCACGTGTGGGAAGCGATTCGCCAAGTCTTCCAACCTGTTAACACACCACTGAGCACTTACACTGAGGAGAGATGATTCAACTGCTGTGTGTGTGTGGAGCAATTCAGTCACAGTGCCTGTTGAGACATCAGCAACTTCACAAATGACTACAGGGTCGGAATCAGTTGATATTGGTTTTCTGCCAACATAGGGTTTGTTTCTGCTGATGTTAACAACTCATATAATGAGTTGGAGTTTAATATTCTGGATATGTCATTAATTTTCAGGGCTGCAGTATCCCTTTGTAAAAGCATCATTTACGATCCCACCCTTGAATTCAAGAACTTTCAACTCAAACTTATCCACAATAAAATTGTGAAATTTAATTCGATTCTCGATCGATCTTTGGTGCCAAATCTACAGTTCAGTATCTGAGAAGTTCTACTGCAAGGGTCAAAATTGCAAAGTGTTTCCGATAACTTTTCATGAGATTTTCTCGAGGGCCGCTCTTTGCTTTTTCGGGACTGCTTGTTGTTTGTCAAGATTTTTTTTATTCTTAATAACTCCATTCTCACTAATTCCTTTATGAAGTGATACTGTCACAAAGTAAGTTTAGCTTTTATCTTATTCTGGAATTGTTTTAATGTATTGCTTTTTTTGGGATAGAAAATGTGGAATAAATACTTACACAATGCATACATAATATTTACTTTTTCAATCTTTCAAGTCTGAATCTATAAATAAGATAATTTTGTTAATTTATTTTAAATTTTTCTCCAGTACTACCCATCTAAAATAATACTTCGAACTACATGGCAATGGGTAAATGGGAAGGAGGTAGTGGGATAGTGCTAATGTGTAAGTGGTCAGTACTCCAGAACCCTGCCTCTGTCTCTTTTAGGCTTGACTTACAGATACTCCCTCACCTCCTTGTGGAAGAATTTGTTTTCCCTCAAATCCCCTTAAAACCTTCAGCTCCTTATTTTAAAAGTGTGTCCCCTGGTTATTGATCCCTTTTCTAAGAGGAAATGATTCTCCCTATCTAAGTAGTCTATGACCTCCAGAGCTTTGTTCACTTCAATCAGGACCCCACCCAGCCTCCTCTGCTGCAAGGAAAACAACGCAGGCTCTCTACTATTTCTTCATACCTCCATCGCTCCAGCCCAGGCAACATCCTGGTGGATCTCTGCACTTGTGCAGTCACATCATTCCTTTGGTGTTACTTATATAAATGATTTGGATGCGAACATAGGAGGCATGGTTACTAAGTTTGTGGATGACACCAAAATTTCTGGTGTAGTGTGCAGTGAAGAACATTATCTCAGAGTACAGCGGGACCTTTATAAGATGGGTCAACGGGCCGAGGAGTGGCAGGTGGGGTTTAATTTAGATAAATGTGAGGTGTTGCATTTTGGTAAGGCAAACCAGGCCAGGAGTCATGCACTTAATGGTAAGGTCCTGGGGAACATTGCTGAACAAAGACTTTGGGGTGCAGGTTCAATAGTTCCTTTAAGGTAGAACCAGAGTGAGATAGGATAGTGAAGAAAGAATTTGGTATTCTTGCATTTATTGGTCAGTGCATTAAGTATAGGAGTTGAATGTCATATTGTGGCTATACAGGATATTGGTTCGGCCACATTTGGAACGTTGCTGTCAGTCAAGATGTTGTTAAACTTGAAGTGGTTCAGAAAAGATTTAAAAGGATTTCACTGGAGTTGGAGGGTTTGGGCTATAGGGGGAGGCTGAATAAGGTGGGCCTATTTTCCCTGAAGTGTTGGAGGCTGAGGAGTGGCCCTATTGATGTTTATAAGATCGTGAGAGACGTGGATATGTTGAGTAGCCAAGGTCATTTTCCTCGGCTGGGTAGTCCAAAACTGGAGGACGTAACTTTAAGATGAGAGCAGAAAGATGTCAAAGGAACCGAAGGGGCAGTTTTTTTTCATGTCGAGGGTGGTGTGTGTATGGAATGAGCTGCCAGCAGAAGTGGTGGAGGCTGGTACAATTACAACAGTTAAAAGGTATCTCGATGGGTGCATGAACAGGAAGAGTTTGGAGGGAGATGGGCCAAATGGTAGTAAATGGGACCCCATTAATTTAGGATACCTGGTTGGCATGGACGCATTTGACCAAAGATTCTGTTTCCATGCTGTACAACTCTGTGAGTCTAAGTTGGAGAGTGGCAGAGTTGCTTCTGAGACTAAGATCCTGAATTTAAAAAGAGGAAACTGTGATGGCATGGCACATAAGCTGGCTATAATAAGTTAGGGAGCATTACTTAAGGGGATAGAAGTGGATAGGCAATTGAAAACATTTAAAGGAAATATTGGGGAACTGCAACAGTTGTTCATTCCTATCTGGCATGAAAATAAAATGAGAAATGTGGCCTCGCCATGACGAGGAGGGAAATTAAGGATAGTGATATAGAGTCTTAGAAAGTAAGAATATGATGTAGAGGTGCCGGTGTTGAACTAGGGTGGACAAGGTCAGAAATCACACGACACCAGTTTATTCGTCCAACAGGTTTATTTGAAAACACAAGCTTTCAGAGGCTCAGACCTTCTTCAGGAACAGATAGCTATTTAGCCCTTGAGACTGTTCTGCCATTCATGCTGATATTGGCTGATCATCCAACTCAGTACCTTGTCACTTTCAACACCCTTTGATCCCTTTATCCCTCTGAACAATAATCTAAACCTTCTTCACAACGTTCAATATTTTGCCACAACCACTTTCTCTGGTAGTTGAACTCTACAGATTCACTCCTGTCTGGATGAAGAAACCTCCTTCCAGGAATCAGTCTAGTATATCTTCATAGCACTCTATGTCCAAAGACAGACTATCATTCCTTAGATAAGGAGAGCAATACTGCAAAGAATACACCGGGTGCAGTTGCCCTGGTGTCATGCAGTAGCCCTGGTGTCATGCAGTATTGTTCAGTTCACTGGGTGTGGTATAAGTTGGCTCCGCCTCAGCACTGTGACGCTTAGAATGAGTTTCAGCCAATGAGTGAGAGCTGCATACATTCTCGCCCGTCATTCACTCCGATTGGTTGAAGGATCGCCCGTGCCTTGTTGGTCACTCATGTCTGCCCCACTTCACATTGGCTTGGAGCTGCCGTCAATCACACGGGCCCAGTTGTGACCTGGAACATGTGCAGTGCGGACATTGCAGCAGGTTGCAGGTGGTGCCACATTGGAGGAGCGGGCTCAAACATTTCGAGAAGCTGTCCGGGCCCAAGCGACAAAATCCCTGTCCTGCTCTCGAGGCAGGAGTTTGCGAGACAAGGTAGGAATGGAAACCGCGGGAGGTGGCGGCCCAGGCAGTTTATAATCTCGTTGGGGAGGCCTGGGGCCACGAGTACCAGGCCCAAGGATCACTAACCGCCATCTTGGTTAGGTCGGGGTCGGGAATTCTCCCCAGATACTTGGCCGCCATCTTCGTAAAGGGAAGCCGTGTCCCACTTGGGGAGAAATCGATGAGGCTCTGACCAGGAAGGAAACCCGAGAGGTGTGTGGGGAGGATTCACCAACACCCGCTGGAGACTCAAACCCCGAATGAGACTCATTGATTTGATTTTCAGTCAGCAGACAGGAGTTGGGAAACTTAATCCAGAGAGGAGAGGATGGAGGAAGGGAGAAAACTGGGTGAGGAGGAAAGAGATGGGGGGATAGATCTGGATTTCAGTCCAAAGAGGAAGGAGTATGGAGCCAGGAATTGACAGATTTGAGAAATAAGAGATGAGAATAATATTCCTTAGGATCTGGACTTGACTGTTCTGAATTTCTATCCTACAATGACAGTGATGACGTTTGTAAACTCCTTTTGCAGGATATTGGAAGAGAAGGATTTGCAGATATTAAACACAAATCAAATTTCCTGCTGAGACTGGTTGACTCATGCAGTTTATGAGGACCTGAGTACCTTGGCCTCTGAATGTGGAAGGAGAAATGTTTGACCTGTATGTAGGTGATATGCACAATACTCAGCTCAGAGTGTTGCAGTGAGTAGACTGCGTAAGAGATTTACCCTGTTACACGTCCCAAGTGGGAGCATTCCAGTGAATTTCCTGTGGAGAGAAATTGAACCAGTCAAGAAGGTTGGGGAAACATTTACACCATACACAGTGGGGAGGTACTGTGCTCGATCAGTGTGCTGTCAAGGCTTCAGTTGATCACCCATTCTGAAGTGATACAAACGTGATAGTACCATGGAGAAACCATGGAAATGTGAGGACTG